AATCTTAGTATATGGTAGGGAACAGAAAAATAGGAGACAGAAAGGGATATTGCAAGGCTTTTTCTTTCCCTTTTCATTTGTATTGAGACTTGTAAGGCAGCACAAAGGCGTACAGCATGCATGCACGTCAAAATGTTTAGTGAGAGATTCTGTAGTATTCATAAATTGAACAGCTTAGCTTTTCTAGACCATGTCAGCATTTGGATTGTTTTAAACAGGTACATCTTTTATTGATAACAACTGAATAATGTTTATGGCATGCTGATCGGATAGTAAATTCCATTCATTTACTTTTTCCAGAAAAGCAAGTTATCCTCTATGTAAATATGTTTTTGATATATTGCTCTGTTGTTCCTGTGGATATATTACTAAAGTACATTGGACTATTTATTTATTTATGGTTCTGGGGATGGAACCCAGGACTTCCTTCATGTTAAGTAGATGCTCTATTGCTGAGCCACATCTCCAGCCTTAAACTGGGTATGTGTGTGTTTTACTAGAGATTGAACCCAGGGCCTTCACACTGAGCTACACCCCCAGCCCTTTTTTATATGTTTTTAAATTTTGAGACAAGCTCACTAGTTTCCCAGGCTGGGGTGGAACTCATAATCCTCCTGCCTCAGCCTCCCAAGAGTGCTGAGATGAAAGGTATGCAACCACTACATCCACTTTTTGATTATTTCAATGTGATGTAAATAAAGGCAGAGGAGTTGTTTTAATATTTGATAAACTGAAGCCTGTGAGGTTTAGGACAGGGCTTTGCAAACTGTAATGTGGGTGCCAGTCACCTGAGGATTTTGTTAAAATGTAGATTTTGGCTTCGGCAAGGATCTGAGATTCTACATTTGTAGCAAGCTCCTGCCTTGGGAGCCACTAGACTTTGAGAGTGCTGGCTTAGAATCATCAAGCCCACATGACTGGCATGGGGCCCTGCAGGGCTGAGGACCCAGGTCTCCACGTCATCTAGTTAACGTTCAGCTATGCGGCCCAAACTTTACTAAAGTAGCCACAAAACTCTTCACCCACTGCAACTTGTTTTAAGTGAAAGAGAAAGCCATTAATGCCTACCAGGCATACAGCAGGCAGTCCAAGGAAAGAAAGATGTATGGTTATACTGGCTTACCCGAAGCAGAGATTATCTTCAAATGAACAAATTATTTTTCGTTTATTTATTTTTTTAAAAAGTACCTATTGGCAGAAAGCATAGCATTTACTCCAAGAGGAAGCTGATCATGAATATTTTGCAATTGCTTGAGATGTTTGGAAAGCAGTAAATAAAAAGCAAGGATAAGAGAGATAGATTTAATTTATGTAGTTGTTCAAAAGGCTATTGATAAGGTTCTCCAGGAGAGGCTGATAAAGATGAGTCACCAGAGGTTGGGAGGAATGTTTCCTGGTGATAGGAAGCTGACTTAGAACTCAGAAACAAAGGCAAAGGATAAACAAGCACTTATCTACGCTAGAGTGGGAGGCAGCCCGCACAGCCCTGGGGAGGACGGGAAGGAGGGGTGGTGTGACGGGCTGCAGCAAGGCAGCCTCACGAGAAGGAAATGAGCGTGTATTAAGAAGGCAATTTCAAGGTGTTGCCGCGGAGGAGTGGGTGAATGGGTGACTGGAATAAATGCCAGATGAGATAGAAAACCTTGCATAGGACCAGACTTTGCTACTTAAAGGAAAACTAACTTCAAGGCAAATGCAATTAAACACAAAATGCTTAGGTTGTCAGTTTGGATGAATGTTGGGGCAGATGGGTGACTAAAGGAAAATATACTCCGGAGAAACTGCAATAGGATAGTGCGGGTTAGACCAGAGCCCGTCTATCACCGCAGCCTAGGGAGTGTCTGCAGGCTACCAAGACCTACACTCTAGGGGCTGGGGATTTAGCTCAGCGGCACAGCATCTACCTGGCAAGCACAAGGTCGTGAGTTCGATTCCTGGTACCGAAAAAAAAACAAAAAAAAGACCTACACTCTAACCTTGATAGGCTGAATCAAAGACCTAGACCTACAGGAAGGGGCTCAAACATCAGTGCCAGGGGTGGGGGCGTGGGACCACACTGCTTGAGACTAAGACCAAATGCCAAGGAGATGACCGGTGAAAACCATGTGAAAACGAAATGTGGGGGCTGGGTATACCTCAGTGTCAGAGAGTGCTTGGCACGTGTAAACCCGTAGGATGGATAGATCCCAGCAGAAAGGAGGGGGGAGGGAGGAAGGGAGGGGGAGGGGAGGGAAGAGGAATGGGGAGGGGAAGGGAGGGGAAGGAAGGGAAGGGGAAAGGAGGGAAGGGAAGGGACTTAATGCACCGTATAACATGAACACCCGTGCAGCTCCATTCAGGTCAAAAACTACTGGGCCAGTTGTGCTGGTGCGCACCTGTAAGCCCAGCACGCTGAGAGGCTGAGGCAGGAGGATTGTAATTTTGAGCCCAGCCTGGGGAATATGAAAAATAAAAAGGGATGGGGTTCTAGCTCAGTGTGAAGACGCTGGGTTCAATCCCAAATACCACCAAAGAAAGGAAGGAAAAGAAAGGAAGGAAATAACACCGTAGCCAGCACACAGTGCTCTTTCCAGGTTGCCCCCGTAATCACTGTCCTGTCTTTTAAAAGAATCAGTCCCTTGTTCTGCCTTCCAGTTTCACCCTGCCAAGATGCTCCCTGAACAGTACACTTTCATTTCCATGCATGTAAATGTTACATAAAGGAAATTTGTACAGTAACGGAAGCATGAATTCTTTTACGTCCAGCTTTTGTCATCGATGTTTTTTTTTTCTTGCTTGTGGTAGTTGTGCTCTTTCATTCTCAATGCTGGGGGGCAGGGGCCGGAAAACTGTGCTCCTCCAGGCTAAATCCATTCTACCACCAGTGTTGTAACTAACCTTCCACTGGAGCATGGTGATACCTATTTATTTCCATATCGTCTGTGCCTGCTGATGGACCACAGCTAAGGGTGAGTAGCTGTTCCGTGTGGCCTTTCACACCTAGAATACATGCTACCCAGGCCTTTGCCGAAGTTTGCCGTCCTTGCTGTACAGTGTCCTACTGTCGACTATACCACAATCTAGTTAACCATTCTCTTACTGATGACATCTAGATGGCTTCCAGTCTGAGATTACTGGAAGCTTTGCTGGTAGGAACATCGGTGTGTGTCATGCCCGGTGTGCCTGACCGTCCACTTCAGTAGGGGAGGAACTTAGGAATGGAACTGTCAGCTCATATAAAAGTCCACGCTTTAAAATTACAGGCACAGCCGGGGATATAACTCAGTGGCATAAGCACCTGCCTGGCAAGCGCAAGGTCCTGAGTTCCATTCCCAGCATTGAAAAAATAAAATAAAATGAAATAATACAATAAAATTCCAGGCACTGGCACCCAGCTCTGCAAAGCGATTTTGCCATTTTACTTTCGCTAGCAGGCTGTGGGAGGTCCCGTGGCTCCACATCTGCATAATACCAATTATTATATTTAGTGCTATCTTGTTTGGTTGAATGTTACTGTAATTGCTGACTATTGCCTGCAGAACGGCGTGACTCAAGACTTAATGGCTTCAAGTCAGACATATTACCTCACACAGTTCTTTGGGTGAGGAACCTAAGAATGGTTTATGGGGGTGGTTATGGCTCTCTTGAGAGCTCAAAGTCGAGATATTGGCCAGGACCGTGGTTGACAGAGCTCAGACACGGGCACCGCCAATTTGAGTGAGCCCACGCGCCATCTTAGAGAAAGGCAGGTTTCATTTTAATTAGGTCATAGAGGATGTGCCAGTAGGTCACACAGGACACTTAAACAAGTCACAAGTGGTCCCCTGAGGACATGTCAGCAGGTGACAGAGTAACAGAGGATGCCTCAGCCCACCACAAGTCCCCCGTTTCTCTGACCCACCTCCTCAAAAGCCCACCGAAAAAGGTCATTAAAAAGCTCCTCAGCCTGTAAGAGACACCTTCTCTGCTCTACTCACACAGGGTCAGCAATAACCTCGCTTGGACTGTTGACTTTGTAGCCCGTCTTTCCCACTGCGGTCATCCAAAGGCTTTGCAGGCCTGGAGCGTCTGCTTTCCAGCGCACTGATGTGGCTATTGGCCAGAGGCTTCAACTACTTGGCTCATAGTACTGTCTCTCTGCACAACTGCTTGTAACATGACAGATAGTTTCCCTCAGTGCAAATGATCTGAGAGAGAGAGGAGGAAGGGAGAGGGAGAGGGAGAAAGAGGGAGACAGGGAGAGAGAGACAGGGAGAGAGAGAAACAAAGAAAGAGAACCAATATGGCGCCAGAGTGCCTGTGGGGACAGCACGCCAGCATAGCTTCACATTCTGTTGATCACACAGGCCAACCCTGGCGCAGTGTCGGAAGGCAAGAACATCGGGGGTGGGTCACTGCGGGCCACCCTGAAGAGGGGCTGCCAAAGGCGTTGTGGTTTTAACTGTGTTTTTCCCTGAATATTCGTATTTTGAGCATTTTCCCACTCGCTACGGCCATTAAAATTTCCTAACTTTACATTCTAGAGCATAAGTGCTTCCAGGGCAGAATGGGGATTTATTTAGGGACTGCATCCCCTTCACTTTTGTGCAACTAACATAGGACCTGCACACAGCAGGTGTTCAATAAATGCTTACTATCTTTTCATAATTTGAATTGCCGTTTATTGGGTATGCCAAGAATGATTGAATGACTAAACATTTATTTCCTAAACAAACAGAAAACCTCCAATGGCAGGCAAAGTCAAGAACGCAGTCAAGATGAACCTACAGAGTTACAGCTAAATATCAAGGGCTGAAATGATGGTGTGGGATTCGTCTAGCTCTAGACATACATTTCAGTGACTCTTGCCGTCCTTCAAATCCAACAACTGAAGACCTGCTTGGGATCGAAAGCAAGGAAACACGAGACTCTTGAATGTCCTGCACATAACATATATCTCACTTGGTTCCTCTCCCCACCTCCTACCCTTCCTCCCTCCTTTCTCTGTCTTTCCCTCCCTCCCTCCTTCTCCCTCTGTCTCTCTCTCTCTCCCCTCTCTCTCTCTTTTCCTCCTGTTCTCTATCTTCTCCTTTTTTCTTCCTTCCCTCTGCCTTTCTCTTCGGTAAATTAGCCTGAAATAATTCATACAGAGTAAGTATGCATGTGTGATGTGAACTCTTAGAAATGTAATTTGATTCGGGGGGTGGGGGTGGGGGATAAGCTCACCAAAGTGGATGCAATTTTAGAGTCAGAGAGAATTCTGCATGTTGAAAAGACAGCCAAATTACACAGCTCCAGTCAGCGTGAGCTTTATATTTCTGGTCATCTCAGCAGTTAGAATCCATTTCTTCTTGAAATACTTGTAAGTTCTAAAACTTCCTTTCTTGCAGAGGGAAAGGCAAAGGCAATTCCAGTTAAAGCCCAAGCACAGCAGCTGGTTTGATGTCTAACTGCTCCCATCTTACTTAACAAGCAATTCGAGACGAAATATATTCTTCTTACATTTTAATAATACATTTTTTAGAAAAGGAGATAGGATCTCTTTGTTCACATTCAAGAAGAATTTACAAGTGTGTCTTCTTTTCTTCCCTAGGGAAGGTATTGAAGGCAAATCGGTGAGCTGCTTTGTGTGAAGTGGCTGCCGCTGTCACACCCCAAGCATTCGTTGCTCCGGGAATGCAGCTTGCCGGAAGGAAGCAATCCCAACTGTCTTTCAACCTGAAGGACTGTGAGCACCATTTCTCTTTTATAACCCTATGAGCACAGTTACGAAGCAACAGTAGCAAGGCTGAAGTTTTACCTAATGCTCTGCTTCCCTTAGGATGGCTTTTGACTGCAGGTAGACTTAAATTAGAAAATTAACCTCTCTCACATAACTGAAGAGTGGAGACAGGATTGTCAGGCTGGCAGTCCAACAGCATCAGCAAGAGTTCCAGAGTCTTCTATCGTCCCTGATAATTTTCAGCAAATTCCACTCATGATTCAAATTATCACTGGGCGTGGTGATACACACCTGTAATCCCAGCACTTGGGAGGCTGAGGCAGGAGGATCGTTGTGAGTTCGAGACCAGCCTGGGCTACAAAGTGAGCTCAAGGCCAGCCTGAACTGCACAGTGAGACCCTGCCTCAAAAAGACAAAAAAAAAATCAAGTTATCAACTATCAACCACAGTTTCAGTCTTCGCCCACATCAGAATAGAGATTATTTCTTCCCCATGTGCCTCTTCTTTCCCATGAGGAAAATCATCCCAGATGTCCCTCCGTAGTTGTCCCAGTGTCACACAATCTCTTGCCCACGTCAACCACTGACAAGAGAATGGGGTGCAGTGATCACGCTGAACCAATTAGCACAGGTGCTCCTCGACTTACAGGATTATGTCCTGATAAACCCATCATAAACTGAAAATGTCATTAGGTGGAAATGTACTTAGTACACTTACCTGTAGCTTAGCGATGGTTGTTTCCCTCGTGATCACGTGGTTGAGGAGAGTGCTCACGGCCACTGGCCAGCATCAGAAGAAAGAACTGCACCCCATACCTCTGTCCCAAGAAGAGGTCACAGTTCAAGGTATGCTTCTTGCTGACTGCACATTGCTTTTGCTCCCCTGGGAAGTCAAAAACTCCTACCTCAAAGCATCATTAGTCAGGGACAGTCTATGTATTTGCTTCTGGCTCACGTAGGATGGAACTGTTCTCCATGAACGATTGACTCCAGAGAAAGAAAAAGAACTTCTAAGATCAGAGCGGCCAACGGTATCTGCTGCATACTACAACGGTGAGTGCGGAACACGGTTTTCTCATTTGTCTATAAATACCTGGCCCATGAGCTCCTATTTCACTGACGGCAGAGGCAGAAAAATCTTAACTTCCAATTAAAGCAACTTGGTCACTTGTAGTTCAAAACTCGTGGCTGTTTCTATTTCCTGAGGATAATTATTTTTTTCTTTTCTCGGTACTGGGGATGAAATTCTAGGGCACTCTGTCACTGAGTTGTATCTCTAGCCTTTTAAAAATTTTTTAAATTTTGAGACAAGGTCTCTCTAAGTTGCCCAGACTGGGTTCAAACTTGAAATCCTTGTGCTTCAGCTTCTGACGCATAGATGTTTAACCCAGTGCAAGACTCAAATCCGCTACCTGGGCCCTCTCTCTCTTTTTGAAGCTTGGTTCCTCCTTTTCCTTGGCAGGGTGGTGTCAAGGAGCGTAGGACAGCTGATGCCGGGGACTGGTTCTTGTGCCCCTCATTCCCTGTGTCCTTGTTCTGCAATCCCTGCCGCAGTGACGACTTCAGCCCTAGCTGATCCCTGAGCCTCTTCCCAGCCTGTGCTGCCGACTGGCACAGCGGGTACAGCTCATGATCAGCTCGCCACCCCGGCTGTCTCCTGGGCAGCTGTGCCAGCACCTTGTACTGGGCAGATGCCACCTTAGCATTTGCTGACGCTGTGGGTCTCTCTGGGACTTGACCGTGATACCCGCTCAACCACCCTGGATCGGGCAACTACTCCTGCAGCTCTTGATTGCAGAATCACTTTTGCCGTGTAACGAAAAGGTAGGCAGCACCCTTGACTTCATCTCGACGACGGCGGAAGGGCGTGCTGGCGTATTTCACAGGCACGGGGAGACTGACTGACTCACGCCCCCAGCACACTACACCACAGCACTCTTCCAGTGCAGGCACCGTACGTCGGTGCCCCAGAGTCCTTTACGGGGATGGAATCTCAAACCCCATTGCCCTGTTATTTCCCCCCAAATGCCTCTAGTTATTTCTAACACACTCCCCCAACCCCAGCCAACAGGACTTTTGATCCAGACAGGAGGAGAAAGGACACATTTATCTGACCTCCTGTCCTTCTTTTTCTCTACTCTGACATCCAGAACTCTGGACCAAAAAGGAGGTCATTTTCTACCTCTGCATCCTCTCTCTTCCGAGCTCCTGTTGCAGTCACTTTCTTCTCTCTCCAGGGACCTTCTTTGTTCCAGCAGGTGTTTATCTCTATCTCTCCCAGGGAAATGAGCCTTATGCGCTAGCCCTGACAGGGAAGGTGCTTACCCTGAACAGAGAATACTAACCAGATTGCCAGAAAAGGGGAAAACACCTTTACAAAATAGCATGAGTACTTGTCAACTTTGTTTCTTCCGACATTTCGATTGTCTAAGCCAAATGTGTGCTTTCAATCTGAAAGAGGCAAAGTTTTCGATAAAGAAAGTTACTTTCACCGACATATTTATTCATGATGAGCATTCAGAGCAGTGACCCAGAAGCCAGGGATTCATTCACACACTTCTTGTATGCCTGCGAGCGGTGTATTCCATTAATTAGCTTAGTTTAGTGGATCGTCATAATACATGTCCCTTACTGAGCACCTACTATGTGCCAAAATCTATGTCCATTAATTTAACTAACTTAAATCCAACGCCTTACCCATTAAGTACTCTTCATCTTATATATTAATAAAGTTCAGAGAGGCTTAAGAATCCTCCCAAAGTCACACAGCACTAAATCCAGAATTCAACTCCACGTCTCTCTGACTCCCTCCTCAGTAGAAGCTGCTGTGACAACAAAGCACCACTGAGAGCACAGACTCTGGAATCTCAGAAACTTAGGTTTTAGGTTGGGTTGGGTTTGGTTTGATTTGGTTTTTTCAGACAGGGTTTCACTACGTTCAGGCTGGCCTTGAACTCACTATGTAGCTCAGGCTGGTCTCGAACTCATGCCAGTCCTCCTGTCTCAGCCTCCAGTGTGTTGAGATTACATGTGTGTAATCTCATCATGCCCAACCTAAAGTGACCTCCTTAATCTTCAATTTTCTCATCTTTAAAAGGGAATAATAATGATTCACACATCATATCTTGTGGTCAAGACTGAATAAGCTGCAATAGTATATGTATTATATATTATATACGTTAGAGTTTATAGCCATGTCTAGACAATACTCAGTAATTAATTTTGGCCGTTATTGTTGTTACACTTAGTGTTGCCTCTGGCTCAGTACACTTAAGCAGCTAAAACAAACTACTGTAAGCTAGCTACTGTACAAACAACAGAAATTTATTTCTCCCAGTTCCAAAGCTGGGATGTCCAAGAGGCAGGCACTGGCAGAGTCAGTGTCTGGCGAAGACCTGCCTTCGGGCTTCTGGATGGCTGCCTCCGTGCTGTCCTCACACGCTGGAAGGATCAAGGGCTCTCTCTGGGGTAATAATCCTACCCGTGAGGACCCCACCTAATACCTCCCAAAGGCTTCAACCTCAAATACCGTCACTCTGGGCTTACAATTACAACATATGGATTTTGGGAGCACACAAACATCCAGTGCACTCTCCTCCCTGTAGACCCTTCGAGTTGAAAAGAATCTACAAGCACCTCTATCAAAAATTTTACAAATGAGACACTGAGGCTGAAAAATTTATTTTTCTCCCTTTCTTTCTCTGTGCCTCCCCCATATGTTTAATGGTCCTTCAAAGACAAACACTGCAAATTCAAAACTACCTGGGTTCCAATGGGCCTCCTCTTCCGAGCATGCGGGGAGGTCTGCTCACCCCAGGGACGCTCTACACCTGCAGCAGGAGCCTATAGGTCAGAAAGGTGCCATAGACGCCTCAGTGGGGAGAGACGGCTCTCCTGCGTGCAGGCAAAGCCATAAAAGGAAAGCAGGGGTCAGCTAAAAGAGAAAAGAGAGACACTCCCGGAGACCGTAATTCAGTTCATCCAGCATCAGAAGGAATCAGTTCATCATTCCAAAACACAAATAAAAATTGGGCCAATTAACTCGTCCTTCAAACACATTCTGCATCGTGGACATCTGTTATTTGGGCTGCCTTTCTGTAATTACAACCCAGTTTTCCTGTAGAAGCGCATCCCTCCCCAAAGGACTGCCATGTAGTGGTTTGGGAGTGACCCAGCCTTCGCTCCCAAAGTGGCTCCCAGTTGGTGTAAACCAATAGGCTAAAGTACTCCCCTAAACCACAGTTATTCTGATTTTTTATTTTTTTGTCCCCACAGCCTGCATATTCTGCTCTGACTTTGACCTAATTTGGGAGTCAAACAGAGAAAAGAGAAGATTAACACATGCTTTTAGGAGTAAGTTTCCAGAGCCCATGAGGTTATTCTACTCAGACTCAATAAATTTTAGAAGCCTACCTAGCTTAATTTTAAATTCACCCACTGAGATAGTACAGGGAGAGAAAAAGAAAGATAAATATGAGATCCTAGCTTCTCACAGAGATGTCCAGCTTGTTTTGTCTGCTGCTTGGAGGGTCCACGGAATATCTCTAGCTTTTTTTCCTCCAGATCCATATTCTCTTTTCTGACTATGCGGTTAAACTACATTTCCCAGCCTTCCTTGCAGGTAGGTGATTCAATATTTGTAAATATTTTGCTAATGTAAACCACGCACAATGGTGCCCATCTGTAATCCCAGCACTCTGGGTGGCTGAGGCAGAAAGATCACAAGTTATTGAGACCATGTCTCAAAAAAGGCTGGAGGTGTAGCTCCTTGCGAAGGCCCTGAGTTCAATCCTCAATGCTGAAAAACGAACAAACGAACAAACAGCAACACCAGAACTCGAGTGAATGTAGGTAAAGTGGAATCTGCATGTGCCTAGGTCTCTTCCATGTCTTTCCCATTTTCCACTGGTCAAAATCCTCAACCACATGGGTGATTTAATATCTCAGCACATAGCAAAGGAACACGGTGGGCCCAGTGTGGTAGCACATGCCTGCGATCCCAGTACTCTGTAGGAGGATTCCAAGTTCAAGCCTAGCCTGGGCAGCTTAGCAATGAAGCGGCACTATCTCATAATAGAAGAGGGCTAGGATGTAGCTCAGTGCAAAGGCCCTGAGTTCGTTCCCAGTACCAGAAAAAAAGAAAAAGCAGCACGAGGGGCAGTACCTGGCCCCTGAGGGACCGTATTGATTAGAGACACCGAGTGGTACCAACTTCTCCCCTCAGAACTTTTTCTTTAAGCTGTGTATTGCTGGATACTCTTGTTACAGTTGGTTAGAATTTTTACACGAAGACAAGGGTCTAGAGGTCTTGGGGAGGAATCAGTCATCCCACAGGTGACCTCAGGGAGAGAACTAAACTCAGCTCCCTCCCTCTACAACAATAAAAGTACAGAGTTTCCTGCCTCCTTATTAGTCTCCCTCGGGGTAGAAGCTCACTGCGGTGAATGACCCAGACCGCCTTGGGTCAGAGGCTCAGGCGAGCCGCACGGAGCCAGCATCTGGATCAGACTATAGAAAGCCACAGAGCCGAGCAGAGCACCCTAAACTCCCGCCGCTATGAGCTGCGCCCCAGGAACACCTGTTACATGAAGACACAAGATCAGGGGAGGCTTCTGTTTGAGGAACCTGGAGAATCTTGCACTTTGAGGGGCGTCTTACTTCATCTGTAACATGGACTAGATGGCTTAAACAACAAACATCTGTTTCCGGGGTTCTGGAGGCTGCGAAGTCTAAGGTTGAGTGTGTGGTGAAGGTTTTCTTTCCGGTTTGTAGACAGCCCTGTCCCGCTATTCTCACATGGCAGAGAGAGGTGGAAATGAAGCAAGCTCTCTCGGGTCTCACGCCCTAGCCACCCACCAAAACTCACTGAAAATTAGGCTTGAGTGCAGAATGTTGAGAGGACAGAGCGTGTGATCCATAACAACAGAGTTTCTTGAAAAAACTCAAACAGGCTAGTAATTTACTAACAACCAAGGACTAGAACTCTTTTTTTTTTCTGACCGTGATCCCAGTGCTCACGGTTGCTTTTCGGTGGACTGATTTTCCTAATAGGAATATCGGAGTCACAAGCCCTGTGAGCAGATGGGGTTTCCTTGTTGTGGGCAAGGGTACAGGGAAATAACATGCTCTGGTGCTCAGAATATTGTGGAAATAGCAGGAGAATGCAGCCGTCTTAGTGCCCATCGCCTAGTAAGCACTATGTAAATATTTGTTAAATAAATGTTGATAGGACAGGATTCTGATAATACTGTACACATGAAAAGTATTGACGCAGAAATTCCACATCTGAGAACGCTCCCTAAAGAGATTATGAGGGATATGTGTAAAGATTCACCTTCAAAGAAGCTCACCGAGGTATTAAATGACCATCAATAAGGAGCTAGCTAAGCAAACGGACATAAAAGTCTCATTTTATGCAAAGGATTGAACTGCCAAAGACCTCACACAATGCAAAACTCACCTTATACAAGATTAAATTTCCTGCAAAAGAAATGCAAAACAGGATTCACATTATTTCAAATTTGGCCCATAAAGCAAGGTTTAATTAATATTTTATAACCTACCATTTCAAACTGTGTAATTCAAATTTGCATTAAATGTAACCTGACTGTATATTTATTATAGAGCCACACAAAAATTTATGATGCAGAAAAATAAGCAGTGCCTAAGAGAGACATCCGTGATAAATCAATTTTTAAAAGCGCAGCCCTATTTTCATCAGGTAGACATTTTTAAAACACTGGGGAAATATATATCAAAAGCATACGTCAAAATTTAAAATGTGTTCACAGGATTACTAATAATTTTTTATTCCTTCTCTTCCTTTGCCTATAGTTGACAAGGAAGAGGTGCGTATTATTTTGTAATAAGATATAATAAAGAGAATTTTTTGAGAGAGAGAGAGACGGAGAGAGAGAGACTTGCTAAGTTACTAAGTTGCCCAGGCTAGGCTCAAACCTGTAATCCTCCTGCCTCAGCATCCCAGAATGCTAGGATTACAGGTGTGTCTCACCATGTCACCCTGCCCAGCAAGAAAACTTTAAAGGATAAATGAAACATTAATATCAACCTAACTTTAATTAGGTTTGAAAACTATGCAAACAAATCGTTACATAAAAGGAGATAACACCAACCAGGTAATATCTATAAATTGTCTACAGCTTCAATGACCTGAGTACCTTGTTTTCTCTAATACTTGATCCGGACAGGAAACACTCCTTTGGAAGAGTTGGTCAGAACTCAAAACTGCGGCCCATTATCCTACCCCAGAGCTAATGAATTCTTTCAGAATCCAGCAAGGGACACATTAGAAGTAAACCGCACTGAAGCG